GGTGGATCTTTGGGGGGGGGGGGTTTGCATATATATATATACATATACATATAAATAGTTCCCACGTCCCACGATTATAAGAGTCATGCAGAGGGGTAATACTGGGATAATGATGATAATGGAAAAGAACATGGAAACCACCATATGTCATTTGTCGGAAACGGCAGAGGTCAGAGACCTCCTGTTTCCGGAGGAGAATGTTGCCGGAAGCCTGCAGAGATTTTTGTCTTGACCGGTACTCGGCATTCACTAGCTGTCACCGGCGGTATTTAGCGACATAGACGATCCGAAGACCTGTTTCCAGAGGCTTGGAGAAGCGACAGAGTGAAATGCCAGGTGCGGAACAGGCAGCGGGCGCATACAGGTGTAGTAGTCGCAGTCCTTTGGTGCCGCTCCTGTAGTAGACGCTCGCAATGAGCCTGCTGAAGAATCTCCTTTCATGACGGCAGATGACGGCAGGTCACTGAGACACTCCGCATGCCGACATCGTTGCCTCCGGAGGATCGCATGGCCATTTAGGCCATATGAAGTGCCAACCCCGACATACAATGCGCAAGTTGCTTTGCAGGAGGGCCGTGGAGCATCATTGCCCCGTGCACAGCCAAGAACGCCCCATGCCAGGAGTTCATGGTCTTGGCAGCTTAAAGATGATCCATCATGTAAGTCAACCTCTGGAGTATCTTCTTCTTGGTGCTTGCGTTTTTTCTCCCAGGAAAGTCCGCTCCAGAAGTGCAGGCAGGGAGGATGCTCCGACCGAGGCAATTGCTGCTGTGGCGTACTTAGCATGACGCTTTTTGCAAGGACATGATGCTTATCGGTCCAGTCGGCTTCAGCGCAGCTTTCTGCCGAGGCCGTTGCCCGAGCACGGCGACGTGCTCTGGAGCAGAAGCGTCGACAGGCAGATGGGGGAACCTCCACGCCTTCACTTTCCAATGTCTTGATCGTGGTGCTTCGGAACAGCCCTGGCTGTCCAGTGCTGCTTGCTCATGGTGACCAGGATTGGTTTCTGTGCTTGGCTTGGGGCGCAGTGCTACCTCCTGAGCATCCTGCTTTTGGTCTACCCTGATCTGTGGGTACGAAACGCTCGCCTGTGGCGAGGGGGATGGAGAGCGTGGGCTGTTTCCTGTCTGTCTTGGCGCCTTCTCTCCTACCACATCTCCCATGCTGGCATTGATTTTGAGGCGCAACTCGCTTGCTTCTCGTGACTGCAAGGGCTAAGGCGGTCTCAGATGGCCATCGCTGGGTGGCATGCCTTTTGCACAATTGCGTCTTTGTCCTGGATCTCAGCGTTGTTCGAGACATTGCTGGAACCTTCGCCACGGTGTCGGAAGTATCATTCAACATCATAAGATGCGTCTTCGTCTTTGCTGAATGCTCGCTTGCTACGCCGGGCGAACCTGTGCACCGTCCAGGTTGCCAACGAGGCTGGCTTCACAGAGGAGTCACTTCCCCTTCGGCTAGGGTGGCGTGGCGCAAGCATGCATGTGTCGGAAATGATTGATCTGAAAGCAGCGGCGAGGCAGCACGTTGCACAAATGATATGAGGAAGGCTTGCATTTGCTACGGCTTGCGATCGCGGCGATCGCTAGGAATGCGAGGAGTTCTGGGTGACAGTTTGATCGTCGCAAAGGAAATGCATCCAACCGTGGCCCTACGCAATGCTCAGTGTCACCAGAGCCAGTTTACATCATGCCCATTGCGTTGGTCATTATGTACTGTAGATGGCTCATTTGACCATACCTTGACTCTAGCCATGAGCCCCGTTTGACTGAGGAGATGCTGATGAAGGTATGTAGAAGAACAGTTCCAGCGGGCTCAGAGTCGGAAGCAGTTCAGGCAAGGTCCAGGCTGTGAGGCTGACGCGACGTGTACTGAGACATCTGACTCTTGAATCTGTTAAACCACGGACAAAATTCTTACAATTCTTACATCCTGGGTGTTCCTGAAATGTTTGCTGCCTGCTGTATCTCGCAAAGCGGTGCGCCGACACTGCGGTCCACCAACAAAGCTGCCTGAGAGGCGCAGGCAGAGGAGGCGGAGGCCCGGGCATGGCGACGAGAGGCGCGCAGCTGAGCACGTTCGCGGAAATAGGGAATGCATAGGTGAGGTCATCGGAAAAGTATCGGAAATATGGGAGCAGGAAACCGAAGATGTGATAAAGAACTGA